GGGGGGGGGGGGGCGGTTAGCCTTAATATTATCATTATGTGGGGTTGAAATTAATTTTTGCTTAATGAGAGAGGGGTATGACTTAGTTTTGGGGCATATTTCACCCATTTTCTAGCCCCCTTTCCAGGTAATTATTGCACAGTCCCTTAGATCCCCCTCTCCCTTGCTGGATTCAAAATTTTGCGCGCACCACATCGGTGAAAAAAACTGCAGGCGCTCTCTATAAAAATTCTCATCTGAATTTCAAGACAATCCCAGCAAGTGGAACAGTATTTGACGGCCGTATCGGACTAAAAAATGTTTCCGAAATTTTGAAAAACATTTCATCGAAAATCTACGTTCCGAAGGAGCTACGGCACTTTACGCATTTCGGAAAAGTTTAGATTTATTATCATTCTTGTTATCTTCTCCATCCTTCACCATTCTTGTTCCTTTATCGTTTATTATTACCTCTGTGGCGCTTTTCTGTCTATTTTCAGGTTTCCTTGAATTTAAAGGTAATTTTGTACGTGGCCAAAATAACTCAGAATACCGTGACTTCATGGGGATAATTCAATCGTTCAATCGTTTTCGGTTTTTTTGGAAACTCTTTCTGGATATTTCCGAACCGTACGCTCCTAGCCTCCAGTCCTAGTTTGGCGTTCAGGCGGGTTAATATGCTTACTTCCCGAAATTTCCAGAATTTTGGCGAATGGAAAGCACGCACGCAGATAATAATAACAGAATAACTTCACCTTGAACGTGCACTTCAATATCACGTCTCAACAGATCTAGAGTTGTTTTCGTGGTAGACTCAGTTGCATTCAGCTGGGTTACCTGCGTCGAGTTGATAATTTTGTAAACTTTCCTGGCGTTGTTTCACTCGATCGCAATTTTATTGCTTCGTGACCCCATCCCACTCCATTTCTGTTACCATGACAACTGACGATCATATGACATCACAGACGTGACAGGCATGAGTCATGTCATGAATATTCAAATTTTACGAAACTGAATATTTTAGGCCGATCAACTCTTGTATTCAGCTGCACTCCGCACAATGGCGACCAAATCGTGGATTCTTTTAGTCGTTGCTTGTCTTCTATCGTATGTTATAGGTAAGTGCATCGGAAATAATTACGAAACGAAATGCTAACGCCGCAATCTGTACGGGCTTTGCAGAGTTTGATGCTAGCAAAGAGCACAATATTGTATTCCAATAACAACGATCTAGCTACTCTTCAGCTTTGCTGGGTTGTTCGTCATTTGCCAAAAACATTCTTGTTCTCAGGGAGTAAGATTTATAAGCTCTTAGGAAACTATTGGCGACGTTTTCTTTTAATTTAAGAGGTGTCGATTTTTTTAAGTTGAGATCGAGTTCGAAATTTGTTACTTCTGAAATTTGTGCTCTGTCACGCCGCGAGGGCGTGTTGGAAGTTTACAACACTTAGCTCAAAACAAATGTAATTCAAATAGCTCGAGAGGGTGATGGCGGAAATAGTGACCGTATTATCACAAAGGAAGACTCGAGAGTCAAAGAATAGACTTCTATGTTCTTGTTTTTGCCTCAAATACTGAGGAATACTGTTACTTACTATGCCAGATGTTGGTGGCGAAGAAATATTCTATTACGCCGAGGTGGATAAATTTTAAATGATGTTTTGCCAATATTTTGGTTTGCAGCACACATTTCAAATGCCCAGTTAATTGCAAAAATGTGCCACAAGACTTCATTAGTTTCGCTCAATGGTTCTCTTTCCACCACGAATAATATCTAGCAAAAACTCAAAGAGTTATTTATTTGCCATTCATTTTGTGATAGCATGGAACTGTGCTTCGCAAGCCATCGTGAGTGAAGTATCTAATGTCAAAATATTATGGTTATTCATGAGGTTTTTATCCAAATGATTTTAAATAATCTGACCTACAATAGTATGAACTGTATTAACGTTAGTCAAGTTAACATAAACCCGTCATATTCGTGACTTGAACTAGATTCCCAAAACTCACAGACTTGGTGATAAAAAAAAACAGGTGTATTTCATACAATAGATGTCATTATTTGCGAGTGAAAAGCAAGCATTCATTTCGTAGTCTCTACAATGCATGTAACAATTTTGACATTTCTAGAGTTTTACTGAATTGTACAATTTACAGTCGGCAAAAGTTTGTTTGTCGTTATTACGTTTCGAAAATGGCAAAGAGCGATCCTTTTGAAAAAAACTTGTGAACAAAATATTCACTGAAGTCTAAGTATACTCTTTCTTTTATAAAGAATAATGTTTTTCTGGCCGAGGCTGCCTATTTTTTCTGCCGGTTTTAGGCTGAAAATATTCTTGCGAATATTCATCGATTACTGCGTATGGCATTTCTGTTTTCGAATGTATTTTCCTGGATGGCGTTAGAGTAATTTTGGAGCCAGCCTGCAGGCATTTAAGCCTGATTGGACGCACATAGCTTCTTGCAGAAATGTTTTTAGTATCGAACATACGGCTTGTTCTGTTTTTTGTCACTGTTTAGTTAGTTTTGCCGTTTAGAGAAAGGAATAGTTTTACACGGTTTGGTTAAGAGCATATAATTGTATTGTAGTTACAAATTTTCAACACAAAATCAAATTCTTTTCAACATCTCAGCCTCGAGTTTATTCTAAAAATGTTCTTAAAATTTCGAACATTTCAGCCTCGATATTCTTATAAAAAGAGTGCAGTTTTACTCAGTGGCCCTTCTAAGTAAATATTAAAGCAGAAACTTGTTTAAAATCCCAGCTATAGCTGGAGGCAGGTTACAAGACGTGACGAAGTTGAATTCGGGACCACCGAACACAAATCCATCCATACTGGAAAGGCATCCAGAGGCAGTGGAAAGGTTTCGAACCTGGAACCTTGAAGATCGATGTTAAGTTAATTCGTATTAAGGAGTTCAAGAAAACCGCGACGGCAACGGCAACGGAAACGTCGCCAAACAACAGTGCAGCCTGGCTGCGCACGTGCGTTATTAAGTCTTAGTACATTTCTTAGCCGTCTTCTGCAAAACAACAACGTGAAATGAGCAAATTCTGCGTTGTAAGTTGGAGAACGTGAACCAACGGCTAAATTTTTTAAATTTCTATTTCAGATTTGTCGCTGTGTACCAGATTTAGTTTCGTGATAGTTTTGACAGTGATAAACAAAGTAAATGACTTTAGAGTATCTCGAGATTCGTGGGTAAAATATAAATTCATTTTTTAATCGAGGTTGTCCTCGGCTTTGCCGTCGTGCCGGTTACTTTAAGTCCGTAATAATTATCTATGACGTTTTCTGCAGCTGACGTCGATGATGAAGGCCGCGATTACAGAGATGTGTATGAATACACTGATGATGGGCACGACGAGGAAAAATGCCCTGAAGTCAGTCTACCAAGTCGTCTTGTCGGCCGGTGTGAAGTGAGTGATTTCTGTAGTAATATCACATGCCAGTTGGAAGTCGCGGAGAAGCGCGCCACAGTAATTTTCAAAATCAACAGGTGCGAGGATCCCATAACAGCCACAGTCACCATCAAGGCGTCTGGGTTTTCTGTCAATTGGACACACACCTTCAAAGATGGTGAGATTATCGAAATCGTCCCAGCGGCTGATCGTGGAGAAATGAAAGTCTCTATTTCAGTCAAGGTTGATTTGAAAAAGGAAGGAAAAAAGCTGCATTTTAAGGTGAGAAATATTAACACGGAGCCTGTCTTCTCTGTTTTTTCTCTCTGCGGCTTCAATTGCGTTGAAGAAGCCCCCTGATGTTCTTCATGGACCCACGAAAATTGAAAATTCGAAAGCATTTCTCTGCAACAAATTTGTACTTAACAATTTTCGTAAAGTAGGAAGCCCTTGCCACCAGAGACAGTGAAAAGATACTTCCCGAAATGGAATGAACGGATCACAATTAGCCTTACCATGAAGTTTCAGCGTATTTAGTTATTAATTGTAATAGACGGAGAAAGTGGAAGCATTCGACAAATCGCTGGGAAAAGTTAAAATAACTTCAGTTGTTCAACGTCTTCTGTATTCCACTTTCTACAGTTGCTTATTTCTTTATACAATGTAAAATTACCAAATTGAAGTTATCATTGTCAGGTAGTCTGTCCGCCGATCCCCTATTTTGTCTTGAGTTCGCCGGGGGTGGCCCTGAGGAAAACGTTGTCCAGCTTCGCCAACGCTCTCGCGCTCCGCGCTCAAAAAGAAATAATCCGTAGCAAAAAACGTTAACGTCTGTGGACAGACTAAGATTATAGTTACTAAACTCCAGGAACATTTTATCTGTCCATTTTAGCTGTTGGCAATAGCTGATGGACCAGCCCTCGAGCCCCAGAAACTGGGTCGCCGCACAGTGACTCTGCTTGATGGGAAAATTACACTTTCGACCAAACATTGCGGTAAGAAGTAACTCTATTATATGTATGGGTTATTGACCAAGTGTGAGGTCAAGATGGCTGGATATTGGCCAAGTTCTTTTTTTGCGTGTTTATGGACCGAGACGGAGTCGAGGTC